GACGTGTATACTGTTTTAGATAAAAAAAGCAAGAAAACTAAACTGCGCATTATATTTTATACGGTAACAAGCACAATTTGTTTTTGATCTTAGAGTTACATTAAAAAGTATTTAATAAAAACGTTAGATTTTGTTTCTTGATAATGACAAGTCCTTTTAATGTGTTTATTTTAAAATTACTCTTTATAAATATAGCGATGTAAAGTTTTAATTCCAATCCAGCGTCATCATACAATTATCCGAGTGCTCGCGCGCTCAATGTTTGTGTTTTAAGTTCACACCGCACAGAATAACTTCATTAAGAACTTTGAGACTATGTTTACTTACCAAATGGAAAATGTCGACTATGAAAAATATCCAGTATGATAAAGGACTTTAAAAGTTTATACATAGTATGGCAACTAAATACATATTGTTTTACATTCGAGCTTGAAGGTGAAAATAAAGTAACACAAGCTTAAACTATTAGTAGCCTTAACACAGCTATATGTTAAAGATTTGAACAAGAGAATACATGAAATCAGTGTCTTATTCTTTAATGTAACTTTTATTATATCAACGTGTCCATTGCGCGATGATATAGCAGATGCTATAGCACTTGACCTGTCAGGCCAGCGACGGTCCATCATTGGCGAAGTTGTAACAAATACTGATTGGTATAACGGTAAAATGTATCAATTAATAGGGCTGCTATAGTTCATTGTACCACTGTTGGCTTTATATATCAATGTAAACACTCTGCTAATTTACAATGAAATTATAACTCAATAAATCTATACATCAATCCATACATAGATGTAAAAATATCTGTATATACTTCTCACAGTAACATTCCAAAGCATAGCAACGTCGAACAATAAGGATCTAATAGTTAACGTCTAAAAGGCACGATTCCATTTCCACGAGCTGCGCGGGCGCACTCTAACTACACTCCCAAAAAAAACCCGTTGCCGGAGTAACGGTACCGGCTCACTGCCTTGACAAACGGACGGACGGACGCTTTATATTAGGCAATTAGGATCAAGGCTCGCCGACAACCTGGAGGTTTATTGCTATCCTATCGCTTTATGCAAAACACTTTTTGAAAATTACGATTGCCAATGAACCGTTTTTGGGTCGGTTTAGGTAGACCACCGCACTCTGCCTCATGTACTCACTCTAACAACTAGTCTGCGGTGATCGTGCTTACATATTTGTGTTTGTTTTAAAGTATCTTAGATAAAATCTAGGCGATAAATCGTAATCGTAGAAAACACAAGTGTTAATTTCGTATACAGTGAAAAGTGAAAAAGGTGACACATTCGTGAAAGTATTGTTGTTGGAAAAACTGTAAAGGAAACATTGTTAGCTGAATGAAATGTAAGTTTTAATACTGAAGTCATTTACCAATTAACCAGTAAATGCAAATAGGTATTTTATCACCGATGTGACACAACTAAGGCTGTAACTGGTTCCATTATCAACTTTATACTAGTGAACGATGTTGTATAAGATGCAATCATGTTTGTGCGTTTGTTGTTTGATCAATTTCATTCAAAGGTTTATCTTTTACGAATCTACGATCCACGCCGAGTCCGCTTGCAATGGCCGGCGCGGCAAGCTCCAACCGCGGCGACCCATTGACCGACATGCCCGAAGCATCGGCCAAAGCGGATTCACGAGAAAAAAAATCGTATCACAAAATTAATTTTTAGGCCAGCCCACACTCGGCGCCCGCATTGAAAAATTTGTCGCCCGGAGAGAGGGACAGAGCATGCGGCCGCGGTGAGAGTGAAAGAGGGAGCCGCCGGCGAAAGAGGGCCGGCTAACGGTACCCGCGCGGAAGTGTGTCAGTAGCGTAAGCCGAGCTCGGGCGCCGGTAAGTCGTAAGCGACGGCGCGCGCCGGCGGAATTACAACCTTGACCTAGAGCCTTAAGGTGTAAATTCGGTTGACCGTTACCGGATTTTCGTTTTCCACGGTGGTGATTCACTACAATAGCGATGTCCGCCTCTGCCGCTGCGGTGCTCTGTGCGCGGCGGATAACCTACCTCAAGGCTGGGCAGTGTTTTGCTATCGAAGCCTAATCACTTACATCAACACTTTCCGAAAACGCGCGAGAGTACTGTATGCATGCCGGTCTAGTCCAAATGTGCATTGCCGAGATAATGCTACAAACTCTGTTCAAACGTTCATGATCTTAAATTTTATTGTTTAACAATTTTAGTAAAATTAAAAAGATAATTACAATAATGAGATTGTGCCACTCTATATTGCGTAGTTCTTTCGTTAATTCCTTACGTTAACTTACCGTAGTATTCTAACCATAATCCCGAACGTCCAGATTTATTGGACTTTAAAGTAATCTTATCTTTGGTATAAATTCTGATTATATTTATATTGGTATAAATGGATCAACTAAAAAAATTAAAACTATTAAAGATTTTTAAAGCTTGTAAGTAAAAAATCTTAAGTTGATTGTAATGCATGATGAGATGCGCCGTGCACGTTACGATGCGCGCGCGCATGTCAAGTCGAGAGCCACTTAGCTGACTTAGATCTCGTATCTCGACGTGGTTTTAAGTTACAAACTTAACGGATTTCTTGGCACAAATTTTTGATAAGTAAACTAAGCAATTCCGCGTTTCGTGTGACGAGTGTGGTGCTAGAGGCCTAATTTTAGTCCCCTTTCCTTTCCCACCCTTTTCTTATAAGGAGAGGATAAATAGGGTATTTGATACAGCAGGGATGGCATAGGAATGGGCAAATATTTTCTTTCCGTTCGTTCTCTTATCCGTTGATTAAAGGTAGGCATGTCCATGGGCAGCAATAGCTTCGCTATTTCGGTGAATTCAGATGACCGCCGATTTGTTTGGTTTCCAATGTAAAAAAATGCTCTATAAAGTTGTTTTTCGTTAAACCGAGGCGTAGTTCTATGTTTAAAATAAATAGTAACAGTGTACGTATAGACAGGTGCGGCGGTATACAAACGCGCAGTCAACCCCTAACAACCCCCCGCCGATTCATTGCGACGATAAATAGACACTATTAATTGAAATAATTTAATTCGCTACAGGTGTTGTAGAAAGTGGGGAATAACATAGTAATACATCGATTGTTCCTTGTACGGTTGATCTTTGGAATTTTCTCAAGTCATTGACCTATGTTTGAGACTAAAAAAAATTAAAGGTTTAAACTGAACTAATTTACTATTGTGTAAGTAGTATCGGCGACCAAATAACTAATATTAAAAACTATTGTTTTCATTCCACTATCCCCTACTATCTTACATGGCCATTATAGAAAAACAAAACTAATTTTTACTTTAAATCTTTAAGCATTGCAATTATCCGCGTTTTAATGCTGTGCAGCCAATATTGCACAATTTACGATTCCAATAAAATCAATCAACGCAGAGCACCAAAAAAAATATCTATTATTTTTTTTTAATTACAAATTAACAAGCGTAATAATTTACCTAAATGTCTAATATTAAGTTGTCAATAATTAAATGTTTTTTTCTTTATTATTATTTGAAAGCGCTCGCTCTAAGTCACGTTCGACGGCAATACGTTGTAATATTTTTTCACGGCGCTTGCGCGATCGGTTTCGGGTCAACGACCTGCGCAATACTTATTTATCGAACATTTTGCGAAAAATCACCACCAAGGCCGCGCTCTTGGTAGCCGAGACAATTTTATACCTTAATAGTGACCATTTTTTCACCAAATAGATCTTGCAATCGCTTGCGTGCCGACACCATATTGACTAACGGCGTGCGTGTTGTCATTTCTATGAAATATTTTGTCTACGTTTGACGAATTGAAAATTTACAAATAATCAATGTCCATTACACAAATGCAATACACGACCGCATTGATTTGCCACTGAGCGCGTTAACTTTATAGATTTCAGCAAGTGTGTCGTTACAACGTGTCATGTGAAAAAGCAATTGCCACTTTGTAATAAATAATGTTAGGAGTAAAATTAACTTTCTTCACATCTGCTTAAAGTTCTAAATACTGATCGCAGATAAAGCCTAGAGAAAAAAAGGAGTAAACCCAGTTGGAAACTTATAAAAACATTTCGACTAGTTATGACATATGTTTAGCGAACATTGTAGTAAGTACAGATATATGCTTCTGAAAAATTAAGTGTGCAACAGCGCAACTAATACACTGCAAAATGGTAAGGAAATCAGTGGGACATTGTTTTCCTCGTATATAAATATCTATTACGAAATTAATATAGATACTGCTGCAGATGTTCAACATTTATAAAAGAATACTAAAACTATAGCATATGATATGATTATTGAATATAACAGTTTGATTTTGCAAGAAAAGAAAAAAATAGTGCAGGCATCGTATCGAAGTGGCAGCTCCGAACGGATCCGAGCGGCGCGCTATCGGCGCGACACCGATGTCCGGCGGCGCGTGGCGGCCGGCGCCCGCGCGCTGCACTACAAATTATTGTTTCAATTCCACAGCCACTGTCTTGATTTCGTACTCCATCTAAATTACAACACAACCGTTTCATGGACGCGGTGACAATTCTGTCTCGGCGGGCAGTCCATTATTAACTAACACCCTGAAAAAATTGTGCACAGAAAACTGATAAATTGCTCGCAAACAATAAAGAAATAAATTACTTAACCTGAAAAAAGTAAACCGTTTTATTCTAATATTGATAAGATACGAAACGGGTTTTGGGTATCATTTAGGTCAGAGAACAGGTTACTTTGTCGTGGCGTTCTCGTACGCGCACATGACCGGTGGTAGAATCGTAAAATGCGTGTAAAGTACACAATAAAATACGTTGTTCATTGGTTACATTAAGTAAGATTGCTTGCACATTTCTTACGAAGGTGTTCGTAGTGGTGAGTTAGAATTTTCCCTTGCATCGGAACTAATATTGTTGTGCTTTGTTTGCAGATAGTGCGGCAGGGTGGCGGCGTCCAAGTATGGCGCCGGCGGGGTGTCCGTGGGCGCGGGGCTGAGCGTGCGGCGCGAAGTGCGCGGCATGAAGTGCTCGCAAGGCGGCGCGGCCGGCGACGAGCTGCTGCTCGGCGCCTGCTGGCTGGAGCCCAAGCTAGACGCGCCCTCCCCGCCGCCCGCCTGCCACGACCTGCTCGACTCGCTACTGGCCCCACCGCCGCTCGCCGAGCTCAAGCCGCTGCCGCCCTTTACCGGTTACACCGGCCACCTCTCCATCAACGGCATCTCCGGCCACCACTATCACGCCATTGCGCAGCGCCTGCCCGAGGAGAACAACAATTACCCCACGCAGAGTGGTTACGGCGCCGACCACGACGTCGTCTCATCCTCCACCTGCGCCGCCGACGCCGAGCCGCCCGATCTCGAGGACGTCAAACCTTACGCCCTAGACGCACCCGATTCCAAGCCCTTCGCCGCGGAATCCTCGGCGCCCGGCGCACCCGACAGTTGCGCGCAGTCGTGCTCTCCACCCGCCAAGCTGTTCGACGAGGGTCACAAGCAGGACATGTACGACATCAGCTCCATAGAGGACATCGCCGCCATAATTGGTTCCGCTATCGCCGACACCACAGTGCCCTCGCAGCCCGAGGACCCCGAGCGCAACGACTCCCGCGACAGTTGGATGGACATCGATGCCTGGATAGCCGGCGCTTGCGGCCAGCACGGGGACAAAATCGTCCCTCAAAACCTTGACGAATTTGGTCTGCCCAACTCTCCACCCCCGTCGCAAACCAGCCATCACTCCGGGCTTGATTTCCCCTGTAAACCGAGTCACGACTTTACAAAGAGTCAAGAATTTTTACAAAAGAACCTCGGACAGGCAGGTTCCACTCTACAGACGTTATTGACGCACGGATACATGCCGCTTCTTCAAAATCGGCTACAAAACGGTCCGCCGGTGAAACAGGAGGCACCGAGCTCTACGAGCTATGGTATGGATGTGATATCGACGTCCTCACCGCCCGGGAACGCTGTGTCGACGACGGACGGTGTCGGCGGCCTTCTAAACGGTCGGTACGCTCCTCACTACGCCCTCGGCCTCAAGTCTGACGGCCTATGCAGTCCGGACCGACTTCTGGGCTACCCTCACGCGCATACGACTACCGTAACGCCGTCGAACAAAAGTAAAAGGAGCAGAGCCAAGGCGAAACAGTCAAACAACTCGGGGAACATTCACGGAAGTTCGTTAGGGTTTCCGTCAGCGACGGCGGCAGAGTTGAGTGGTTTGCTGGGCAAGGAGAAGCCGGTGCATCGTTGCGGAATATGCAATAGGGGCTTCCTCAACAAGTCCAACATCAAGGTGCATCTCCGCACGCACACCGGCGAGAAGCCATTCCGCTGCGACGTGTGCGCGAAGGCGTTCCGTCAGAAGGCGCATCTCATCAAGCACCAGCAGATTCACAAGCGGATCGGCCGCGACTAGTGTGCCCTCTGCCGTCAGCGCCGGCTGCAGGCTCAAACAGAAGCATTTCAATAGGTCTTAGTTGTGTGCGTGAATGTGGTGAGTGGACGTAGCCGCGTGTGCGTGTACCCTCGCGGAATCTCAGTCTAGAATAGTTTGGTACATGGCAACTCTTGAGTTAACTTTGGATTTAAGTATGAGCGAGTCCACGTATTATTCATATCCCTGTAGTATAACACTCCTCCTAAGGCAAGTGCAATGTTAACTAGTTTTAAGATATCTTCAGATTTATTATTTTGTAGATAACATTGTTTATAATTTGTTACATACTGAAGGTTGTTTCATAAGTTTCTCATATTTTCTATTCATTCCAGTTAGTTTAAGTCTCTGTAGGATAATGATAAATGAACTTTAGCAAAACATTTCAATCACTCTATAAATAAAACTCCTTGCATAAGATATTCTGCACACGCTAATTAAAAGTGCTCGATATGTGGTTACGCTTTTATAAATTCCGTTGTTCTATATATATTAACAATTAATTTAATGTTGTGAATATTTACTCCAATTACCTTTTATAGTCAAATTTAATTAAAATAATAGTTTATAATAATTAATAGTAATAAATTAAGTTTGTAAAATGTGAAATAAAGACAAAGCAAACGAGGCTAAATACAAAATAACGATATTATATCGTATAATTTTACTCATGTAATTTAAGTTTAATGTATTTCTATCATTTTTAATTACTTCACTTATTTACAATTAAAAAAACAAAATAAATAAATATATCGCAAATCACATGTAAAATACCACGAGCTCCATAATAAGAATTTTTAATCTACACTAGTAAAGATATCAGTTCATCAAATAAATTAGTTTTTATCTTATTTATGCGCATTATCCCAGTTAAGAATAACAATTTTCTTTATCACGTGAAGGCATAATTAGTAAATAAATAATAAAATAGTTTGCACATGTAGGCAGCGTGCGTTGCTCGGAGTAAGCAGAGTCCTTCGTACACGCGAGCGCCGGAACTTCTCGTCCGGGAAACGGACAAAAAATCCAAAAGATTCCAATGTTCTAATAACAGCGATCCGTTCTTACGCAATACGTAATATTCGCCGATTTATTCCGTCCTTATCGGCTTGAAAAAAACAACATAAAAACGAATCAGCCGCGCATATAACGATGCATTTTGTTCCGCCAAACCTAATTATTTATTAAACATAAATCTATATTATACTTATTTTTCATTATTAGTAAAAAAAACGCGTTAGCTTCTATTTTGATCAGTACTTCATTTATTAAGAAAACAATATTAGTAGTATCTGTATTATATTGAAATTATTTCTCGTCGTCTCATTTATAAAATTTTATGAATTTATATTTGGAATTGAATTACTGTTATGTTTGAAAAAAAATGATGTACATACATTCCGAAGCACGACAAAACAAAATTTTAATTGGATAAACACCATCCATCGAACCCGTCTTTGAGCACAAAAACGTAAACACAAATTATTTTGAAAGTAAGTTATGTATAATATGACATTCCATTCTGTTTTCTTCTTCATTTTTTTAAGTCTATGATAATAAGAGTAAGCGTTTTTGCGCTGATCTGCAAATGAAGTAACTTTTAAGTGTTAGGTACTTTAGGAGCTTACACACTGTGGGATAAACGCGCGACTGTGAAACGCTCAGTGGAAAAAAAACTTAAATATTAATTTAATTTATAATTATTTATGTCCTAAAACCAGTGTATTTTAGAAATTTCGAGAATCATTTTATTTGCTTATAATAGATACAGTATGTTGTAATTTTTTTAAGTATATACAGTGTGTTTCACTCGCGGCGTTTCCTACGACATTTGCAGACCTTAAAGAAAGTACCTTTTAATAGTTTTAAGACGTCTAGATAATAAGTATTTATTGATAACTGTAATTTTGTAATTATTATAAACAGTCCCGCTGTTTCTCTGTCAGTGGATTTAGGGATATTATATGTGAATAAAATTCTCTGAAATTGACGCGCAATAAAATGGGGTAAATAAAATGTGAGAATCAAAATCTCTTCAAGGTACTTCTGTGTTATCGACACAGTAACTTATGTAGCGGTAATTAATTATTTGATAAGGACAAAAATGTTATATTTTTCAAGAGGTTTTTCCAATTTTAAGTAAATTTTGTAAATTAATGTAAAAATAAATGGAGATTTTTTTTGTTAATGTAGTTTTTGTTTCTTTTTCTATCATTATATGACACATACACCTTTACAGAACATATATTTTTCATAGAATCTTAATCCTAATCGATAAAAATTGCATTGTTCCTACACTGACAGTGTTTTGTTTCTTAGAAGAGACTTTATTACAACTTATGATGGTTCAAGCGTTATACATACATGTAATTAAAACAGCCAGAATAATAAACCAAGAAGTAAGTGTACATGGAACTTATAATTCAATATAGTTTCTAAAAATAAACGTGACATGTGGGTCACTTTAGACATCGTCGCAAACAAAGGTGCGATCTGATGTGAAAGAGTCTGTGCGAGCGAGGTTCGCACACAGCACACAGCGCCCCCGGCTGCTGGCGAAGAAAGTCGGATGTGAAAATCGTCATAATGCACACAACGACGACAAATTGCCTTTTTGCAAGTACCGCGGAGGGCGCGAGAGAAAACCCGCGCACACCGCGCCTGCCTCGGCCAATGGCGACACGCACGCACACACGCGCAGCGACCAGTAGCGTCAGCAAATTAAATATTTAAAAATAACTTTGTAAGTATAAAAATAAATGCTAAATACATTCCTTACAAAGTATTTAGCGATTGTTTTCTTTATAAACACATGGAAAATAGACATACATTATTGGTAATATTTTAATGACATTTAAAATGTGCCACATTTCTTCACTAAATATATATCATACTGCAAAAAAATTGAAAAAACTATGTGCTTTAAAAATTTAAAGAATAAATGATCAGTTAAATTACTTTAGAGTAAGCATTAGCAAAAACAGTATAATTATGAAGTTGCGCATCTAAGCTATAACATCCGCTTCTATCCATGGACCTTCAGACTTAAGTAATATGTTAATCTGTCAATCAATCAAAGTCCAAACGTTGACCGACCTTACACCGCATCCTCACAATTGTCTGAGTAATTAAACGTAATCATACGTAAATATCGAAATATGTATTACTGAATTATGATTAAATTATAATAAATATACGCTAACCTACTTTACAACTTAACATGTGTTAAGTAAACAAATTATGAATTGTAATATAAGTTCATGAGACGTTAAGCTTTTAAGTTATAAAATCAATACACTCTCTTTCAATGTAAGGATTCTCGATCACCTTTGTCAAAGAAATTGTTTTTTTTTGTATAAATTTAAATATATATTATTCTATTCTTATTGTAACAACAACATTATATTAGATGATGCAAAGGTTGCTTAAAGACTAAATAAATCACAATTTATACACGATTAATAATTGTTTTGCGCACGGTACTGCATCGCAGAGCGTAGAGATTCTTTCACCAACCCACTTACATAGAGCGGCTTGATTTCACTCCGCCATTGCCATTGCCACGCGCCAGAACAAAACACGCGTATAATGCTGAGGAAAAATCATTGTTACGAGTAAGTATTACTACATTGATACTGTAAGTAGTAAAAATTTTGATAGACTTTGACGTACCATACTGTACCGTACCTGAATATACCATAACTTTAATCCCAGTTTAATCATGTTCTTCTGTCTTTAGTTCTCAAACTTGCACATCAAAATTTCCACACTATCAAATGCGGTCGACAGAAGTAATATGTAAATCTAAAACCCGAATCCAAAAGCATGGGCCGTTCACGTCCTAGAGACTTAAATTTATACAAGCTGTATACATTTCGATAGTCGAATAATTGTCTGTATTAGCTTTTAACTCATTCTTGATATCGACAGTATACAAAATACTACAGGTGATATTAAAATAATAACCTAAATAAATTCAACAGAAAAAGTTGAACAAGTTTATCGCGAAACTCAATGACCGCGCACTGCAACCTTTAGGGCGGCCGCGTGAAATGTCGTCGCCCCGCACGCCCTTCATACTTGAACTTGTCGACCGACCCTTGTGTGGCGCAAGCAATGAACTTACTGAGATTTTCTTTAAATTAAACATATTTCGTTACTACGGTACTTACCAAGAGGTGGTTTGGATTAACATAACAAACTTAATATAGTAATTTGTGTGTATTTGTACACGCATTAGTTTGATAAAAGAAACTTAGAGATAACTGCAATGTCTTCAAATTTAATACAACATCTTCAGTAATTTCATAAGGCAGACGTAATAGAACATTTTACAATTAAATCACATCGGAATAAAAACCAAATATTATAAATCTATCACGCTGACCTGTTATCACTTAGACCACACTTTGTTCTTGACAATTTTAGGTTGGCAAGATTAATAATGCATGTACTGTAAGATACCGCAGGCGATGAAGACTACTGATCAATATAAATGATGGAGAGAAAATGTCCTTTAATTTCCCTGAAGCAGAGATTTTAATAGTAGCTTACTAACGAGGGTAACCAAACTTTTATGTCGACCGAATTACAAGGCAACAAAGGTTCCCGATACATTAAATAAGCCCGATAATCTAAATGAGTGTAAAACGTACAGCGTAAGTTTATTTCGTATACAGTTCGATTTTATTTAAATTATGTTGTTTAATATTTCAATTGCAAATTTAAAAAATCCAGAGCATATTTTCAAACAACATAAAACTTTCACCCCAACAAGTTGATGCAAAACAAGTGCGAAACAATGACACATCCGAAACTGGGTGCACTAACCCATAACCTTGACCATGCGAGGCGACGGCGACGGCGACCTTACGGAAGTTCCGTGAGCGGGAACTTGGCAGAGAGATGCGGCGTGCGGACACAGCAACGAGCGGAAGAGGGAGCGGGCTACAACACTTACATATTTTAAAAAGAAAGTTATAATACGTATATCGGAATATATAAATATTTAAATAAAAATTATTAGTCTAAAAATAATAAAGCTAAATATTAAGTAAGTATCATTTAGTTATAAGTAACATCATTCTAAGCCAACACAAAGTTAGAATTCAAGTACAGAGAGAAGTACTTTTATTCACATAAACAAAATTCATTCATGGAATTATTTAAAACTCCGTACGCAAGAGTTAATTCTTCGCTAATTTTTTTATTATTAATTCCGCTACCTCTGGTCACTATGTGAGTATACATTTTCGCGCTGCGCTAGAGCGAGGCGCGGCGGCGTTTGGAAAGTGTGTCAGTGTGTCAGAGCGCCCGCCGCCCCGCGCCGCTCCCGCCCCGTAGCCGCGTCGTACTCGCCCCGCAGCCGCGCCACACTACATCCGCAAACAAGCTGGCCTACGAACTGACTACAGTGAAAATACTCCTTTACGCATATACTTATCATAGCGTAAGCCAATAACTACTAACTAAAGAACTATTGTACACTGCATATAGTGTTTTACGATTATCTTACTAATATTATAAATGTGAATGCTCAGATGGATGTTTGTTAGAAGGTATCTTCAAAAGGGCTTAACTGATCTTGCTGAAATGTGGCATAGATGTAGAACATAGTCTGGAAGAAGATATACAATACTTAAAAATTTATTTTTTTATTCCGCGTGAACGGAGTCACGGGTAACAGCTAGTAATATGTATAAAAACCACGTATATATCTATATAATTTATATAAAAATATTATTTCTTCCTGCTTTGAGCACAATAGTTAACAATAAATCTTATTTAAAGTGAAAGTACTGTATGATGTCAAGTAAACATATTAATAACCACACTACTCTTATTTCGAGACGCGCGAAATCCAAAACCGTTATCAAAAAAAACGAAACAGTTGAAAAAAACTCCACTGTCATCCGTGTCACCTACATGACAATTGGAGCAACGAAATCTTTCGGTTTCTTGTGAGATAAAATGCCAACAGTCAAACGAAAGCCTGAAGAAAGCACTGAGAAAATAGCTGCAAAGATAAAAATTTTACCCGTTGTTGCGCCGCGCTGGTAAATTCAATCGTAGTCTAATGGTGCCTTAAACCTTCTTTTAAGCTTCAGCAGAAATATTAGGTTACTAGCTGTAGCCCGTGACTCCGTCCGAAATTAAAAAAAAAACCTTAATTTTAGCCTATAACTTCCAAACTATATTCTATATGTATGCCAAATTTCATCGATATCCTTTAAATTGTTCTGGAGATACATCTATCCAAACATTTGCACTTACAATATTAGTAAGAAGTCAGATTACCGACCTTATAATATTACAATCTTTATCAATAGTGTTTGTCCAATCTATATTTGACATAAAACATAAAAGATTAAGCAATAAAACAACACATTATATATATCTACCAACCTTTGCAACTAGTCTTGTTTAGCAAGTCCTTAATTTTGCAAAATTAGTTAAGCTATATAATGAGCTAACATAACGTATTATTTAGCTGTAAATGCTTGCTATTCTGCATATAATACGATAGCTGAAACGTTAGGTGTCGCTTCAGTGCGCCAGTGGCCGCAAGCTCGAGGGGACTGTAAGTGGGGGGAGCTGGAACCCGACCCCCTCACGGTTAGAAAAGTAAAAGTCATGGCGTCGGCAGAGTAACTGTACCCGCATTCGCTCTCTGCGCGTCACTGGCACAGTTACGGGCGGCTATTTCGCGCGGAACAAGTTACTTCGCGAGCTGACACACTTTGCTTCGCGGAATTTCGTATTCGCTTAGACTTAACGTCGCATGAGACTTCTGAGTAAATTATATTTTTGGAATGTACTAATTAATTTATTTTGGTGATTTTACATCATAATGTCAGAGCTGATCTTAATGATTGTCAATAGAACCTAAAATAATGATGCTCTTAAAATGTTTCCATCAATAATCTGATAATGTCTAAGTCTGTACATAACTAAATATTTCCTATTATTCTTGATCGTATCGCCCGCGACTCTGTCAGCGCGGTATTAAAAAAACACATAATTAGTAGCCTAAGTATTCTTCCAGACTATGTTCTATTTGTATGCCATCTCTCTCCATTTCATCGAGATCCGTTAAGTCGTTTTGGAGATACCATCATACAAACATCTACCGATTCATCTA